TTTCCACAGTAAACATTACTAATGCTATTTTCTCCAGATGTTTTCTCTTAGAACCTATCTTAGTTAAACAATATGGACATATAAAACAAAAATTGAGCAATATATAATTTGGATACCAATGAAACTGAAAACCAAAATACTCCAGATATTCCCTACTACGGCTTCATGTAATACATTCTGTTCTGCAAGCCCTGTACTACAAAGTGTAGACCAAGACAATAAATACTACACAGCACAACTATCAGCCATTTCTAAAAGTAGTTTTCCAATAAATAAAATATCCTTCTCTTTTTTCCAAATCCAGTACTAAAGTCAGCATTACAGCATACTCTTGTATCAAAGATATCCAACTTAAACATCAAGTGATACCTCCAAGTCACACTCCCAAGAGATGATGAACTAAACATTCTGAACTATTATCAAGTTCATTTACATACACTCATACCATTGTATCTTTCTCAACCCTCTGCCTCTTCCCTCATTTGTAGTCTTTAATCTTCTACTCATTAGTACCTGAAAAGTTCTAGTGACATGGTCTCAAAGGGAGAACATCCACTCACGCAATTTTATCATTCACATTTTGGAGTTCTTGGGTTGTTTTTCTCTTTGCTATCAGGACAACTTTATGCAATTTTGGATTTAATCAGATGCAGTTTTTAAGCTTGTCACATCTCAGAAAAACAAGGATGGGCATATTTCATGTAAGTAAGATCAGAGGAACTGATCGCAGAGGTAACAAAATGAAATAGGCCTCATTTAAATTTCACTTTTAAAGAAAGAAGGACAGAAAGATACCATTGGAAATCTCCATTTTAGAAATCAGAACTAAGCCACAGAAAGACTAATATGACAAATAACATATTTATGGGAGTCAATAAATAGATTATAAACTCCTATGGCAATGATTGCATTAGGAAGTAGTGCAGTGCAAGAGGAACATATAGGATAAAACAGTGCTGGCAACCCAACATCCAAAAGTATTTCAGTGCTTTAATTTGGGCTATCTAATCTCTGATTCTGTGGACTGAACAACGTTAGCATACAGAGAGCATTCCATTTGCTCAAGGAGTTGCTCTTCCACTTCAGTCTCACTGAAAAGAATTATCTGAATGATCCAAGACAGCTCTGTGATATGAATCAAAGCACGTTAAATGGGGAGGCCTGGGACACATCCTTCAAGAAGGTGTGTACAATCTTTATCCAAACCGAAAAGCAGATGCTCACACTGCATCAGTGCACTGCAATTCATACACTAGAGAAAATGTGGGGAAAGACTTTCAAAATTTAAGCTACTTGAAATTATAAAGCTCCTTTCACTATGGCTTCTCAAAGCCAAAATATGTGTGTCCAAGTAAAGTAGGTGACGTGTAACAGGTAGCAGCAATGCATTTTAAATATATTTATAAATGACAAAATAAGAAATAATATTTTTAAAGCTACCCATCTTGATGTAAGAATTGATAAAAATCAAATTAAGAGTTCTGTTATATTTTATATGTTATTCTGCCACATTTTTCTTGTCCTTATCAAATGAGTTATTAGTCCAATCCAATAGGGAAAGCCATAAAGATATTACATGGTTTGAAATAGTGGATTTTACAACTAAATATCTAGTAGCAAAACTTTGAAGTATCTTGCCCAGGAGGACTGACATTCTATTTGAACTATCTATCTCTGTAACTATTTAAAACTAAGGTGTGAACTATAAACAAATCCTACAGTTTGTGTTATAGTGGATGTAGAATCTTGTATCTGAATACAACTGAGTCTGCAAGCACTGTCAGGTCCAAGTTTGTGTCCAGACACCACTCATACATTTGCACAATTCTTTCGATATGCCCCCTGTTTGTTTCCAGCATCACCTGCATAATGGGGATTTACTCCAAAACCAATTTCACACAAATTTTAATATTCAGGTATTAACAATTAGTTAATACAGTAGTTTTATGGATAAGCATCAAATTGCCTTTACCCCGTCTCCTGTTACTCCTTTCAGTTTTGATGCTCTCTGAAGAAGAAACAATCTTCCTGCCCTCTAGCTTTGGTGCATTCACAGCTGAGAGGCATAAATTTAATCCTGGATTTAGAATGTGTTTCAGAGAATGCTGTGGGCAAAATCCTCTACTTTGATGAAGGGTGTAAAAAACTGGAAGACAACTTCATACATTAGCCTTGTATTTTTCTAAGTAGCAACTTGTTATGCTGAAAAACTTCTGTGTTTACAGTGTGTGTCAGTCAACGAGCCCAAGCTTTGAGATTTTATGTGGACTCAGATTTTTATGTTAGAAAATTCTATTTCAACACTAGGGTCAAAATGTGTCCCTTCAAGTCTACAGTTCAAAGACTGCTATAGCAAGAATGAATCTGAAAACAATTAGAGAACCAAATCTTCATTTCTGCATTCCCTACTTCATGTCTGGAAACTTGGAATTTATTCAGAGAGCCCTAAGGTCTTCAAAGACAACAATCAAGAACCTAACTAGACATGAATTAAAATAGCTAACTAGAACTACATAAAGCACAGGAGAAGATTAGCTGTTCCTATTTTTTAAAGTAGTATTTCATGCTCTCCAGATATTTTTGTCATTTTAGACTAAGATTTCTTTGGTCAACAAATATTTAGGTAAGTATTTTTGTACAGAACCCATGAAAATGGAACTCTAAACTCATAGTACTTGTCCAACATCCTTAACGCTATTGGCTGATAGTCAGAAACCTCAAACTGTCAACCTGCAAAATGATTAGAAATTAAAACACTGTGTGTATTCTGTTAAGAAAAAATCAACCCATGTCATTTGCTACCTCAGACTATTTCAGATGAAGAGACGATCTGATATTAGAAATGTTAACTTTCTAGATTTTCTAATCACAATACATTATGGAAAGGACAATCACAGTTCAAAACCAAGATACTGTGGGTACCTGCATTGATCAAACTGTCGGGTTTTGATACAGGCTCTCTTAAAGAAGTTGGAATAATCATTTAGGGCAACAGCTTCAACCCATGATTTACAGTATGTACATATCTCATACTAATATACACAAAAGCAGTTCAGATAAAAACAGGTGACTACTACAGCCACAGAGAAGCTATACCAAACTGTTCTCATATAAAATGGGTCATATACTTTGTATGTACATACAAATGCAGGCAGAATTTCCATACTGTTTTTTTACAATAATATTTTTTGGGTTTCTGTTTGAATGCTCTGTAGGAACATGGTTTTGAATTTGCTATTAATCAATGTAACCAGCATATTCCTCTCTGCCAAATATTTCAGATACTGTGAAATACAAAAACCAGTTTAAGATTAATGCCTCAATTATATTACAATTCTATTAATTAACTGCAGGGTGCAAGCACAGCACTTGATAACTTAAACCCCAAGATGACTGAAGATGCAGTTGCTGGTCAGTAGAATTACATAATTTATTTCTAAAATGTGTCATTTCAAAGTAACACTTTGTGGCCACTGTTTTTTTCTGCAGCTTTTTGAATTCCAATGTACATTCATTTATAGAATACAATCTGAAAAAATGTGGCTTCTTGATACTGTTAAAACTGTTCCAGTTGCACATCAGTCCATCTGTCAAGAGGTTATTAGTTTAACAATATGAATGGATTATTCAGTACCATGTTCAATTTTCTTTTTTTCAAAAGGAAGCACAAAAATATATCCAGTCTCAACATTTCAAAGAGAAGCCTCCTAAAAATGCCCCAAAACTGTATTTTGTCCTAACAGTATAGTTGTAGCAAGAGTCCAAAGCTTGACTCAGTTTTCCTAGGGGACAACAACAAGAACAATGAAAGTTCTCTACAGACATACGATGCAAATTATGCAAAATTCCAACCCAGGAGCTGCACTAAAAAATATTGACTGGCACCATGCCCACCAGGGACCACATGCCTACTGGAGCAGAGTGCAGTCCAGCTATTCAGCTTCCTATGATGAGCAACCATGTGCCAAGAATTTGGAGTAAGGGCAAATTCAGGCTCTATTACTTTCTTTTCTTGCAGTAATTTCAAATAGCCTTAATGCAAAGAGAAGATATAAGGTCTTGTGACCACCTCTTTTATACTGTTCAAATTCAACCTTAACTAGCAACCTTGACTAAATCTATTTATGTCATGTCACGAGCTGAGATCAATATTAGATGCATTTTGTTTTGCAGACAAAGCAAAAAGCCTTTGTTTTGTATTGCAAGCTACATTTTGAAATGCAAATTACCAGAAACTTGAAAAATATATTTTACCATGGAAATGTCAAAAACACATTAGCTATTGCCAAACATCCAGCAATCTGCCAATAAAATCTCTAATCTTCACACATGGTTGGAGCCAGTATTTCAAAACTAACCACAACAGTAAATGCCTCTTGTTCTCAATCTGAAGTTGACCAGAAACCCTGTGTCATAGTCCTGATGAGTCACCTAGAAAGACCTAGAAGAAAGTTAAACAGCTTTCCTACCCAGCTGTTTTGAAACAATGGGTTTGCAAAGAACCCGACCTTAGCCCAGTTTCAAAAGCTTATACTATGAGCTAGGAATCATCTATCTCTTAGCTGACAGGTTCATAAGAAACTAGTATTAACATTCATCACCCTGTGTTTGGGAGCCTAAGTACTGTGCAGTTGCTACATAGCTCCTAGTGATCACATACGTACATACTACAAAAAGCTGTGCTATAAGAGCTACCGTTCTCATCTTTGATAGTTTGTGACAATTCAGAGTCAAGCACTATGAAAATTTTTTTAAAACAAGATTTTAACAGTTACTTTGAGCACAAAGATTTGGTTGTTCAGGGATTTTTCTGGCAAATTAAAGAACATACAGATTAGGAATCATATGTAACTGCTACATAGAAATTAATATGAAAGTATAATAGAAACTCACTTTTTCACATTGAGTTGAATACTAGAATCATGCATAAAGAGACCACTTTGCGTACAATATGAAGAGCTCCTACAGTTAGAAGAAAAATATGCAAACCCATTACTTACATGTCTGTCGTCTGATCCACTGGCTATGAAGCGTCCACAGGGAGATACTGCAATTCCACACGGATAGCAGCGGCTGCTGTGCCCTTCAAAACGGCGTTCACACCTTCAGAGAAATTTCAATCTTATTAATACCAGTTACTGCCACTTTCATATGCTGAAGTCTCGTCTGTTTTTCTTAGTCTACAAGTTTACCAAGGCAAATCCACAAATTAAGTTTTAAATATCTCTGCAGCAGGATTTTGACAAAACTGAAAGACGTTAAAGAATATTAACAACAAAACCCAAAATGAACACACAAAACTACTCCAGGACAATGCCCAAAATCATGCTTTGCCATTGTTTAGTTTACAAAGATAGAAGAATCATTACTCTTTAGAAATGAGGAGCTATGATGCCTACCATTCAGCTACTCTTAGTTACCCATCTCAGCAGGAAAAGCCAAACTCCGTTATGCCATTATTCTGAATTATCTTTTACATGTGTATGCCTCATTTCAGAGCTTTGTTTTTATACCCACAAGGAATCATTTCAAAACAGACTTACAATAATCTGTAATCTTCTTTTGCCTTTGTTATGAACGCTATCAATCTGCCCTTCTCCTTACAAAACAAATTCATATACTTCACCATAATACAGTTGTCACACATTTTTTTTATATGTATGCTAAGTCCAGGAACAAATTTGAAAGAGTAACAACTGCTGCCAACACCTGTGATATACACTTTTTCCTGGCCAGTGAAATCAGATGTTATGTTAATTCAGCTGACTGAACCCATGTGCAGAACCCTCTAATTTTTTATACCAAGTAGCTCTGTTTTAGACATGCATGTACGTGTGAGAATGCACTGAATGCCAAGTTGATTTTGTTCACTCAGGTGAAACAGGCATACTTAAACAAAAAACACTACTTTGTGACTGATTTGATGACTGTCACTTAGTTAAGCATAAAAAGGACACTTCTTAATGCATGAAAATACATAATTTTACATAGCAAAACTCCAAACTTTCATAGATAATATATATTTAGCTGAACATCTGTATAACAAAACTACAGATTTAAATGGACATTTTGAGTATACAGTAACCAGACGTTTCACCTCAGGCCAGTTCTACCCTAAAACTGTTGTAAATAACCCAATTTAAGGGTAGACCACAGTTTCAAGGAAAACTACCTCATAAAGACAGTCAATTACTGCCACTAATATATAAAAATATTCTCATCTTCAGTTTGCACATAGGTCTTTCATGAATCCTCAAGGATTTTGAATAATCAATGGCTACATTTGGGCCATTAAATAATCTGCCTCTATTCAGGTTTCTTATTGACAGTAAAGGAGAATACTAGCTACCTCAGCCTTTTCCTAAATGCAGCATTCTAACACATATGACTCCAAAAGTTAGGCAATGGAGGACAAGTCACAGAATACGTATTTGATTTATACTTTCAAAGAACTTGACTTTTTGAAAGACAACTTAAAAGAAAACAAAGGTTAGTCCCTGCTTTCCTTACCACAGATTTCACAGAATCATACAATGGCTGAAGTTGGAGGGCACCTCTGGAAATCATCTTGTCCAGCTTGCATGCTCACCTAGAGACAGTTGCCAAGGACCATCCATGTCTAGATGGGTTTTGAGTATCTCCGAGATACGAAACTCCACAACCTCACTGGGCAACTCGTGCCATTGTTCAGTCACTGTAAATGGTTTCCAGAATTAGTTGTTCGATCAAGTTTTCCCAAGGATCAAGATGAGGCTGACTAGTCCATGGTCTTGCTCTTGTTGAAGATAGGAGTGACATCCACTTTCCTCCAGTCCTCAGATACCTCTTCTGATAACCATGATCTTTCAAAAATAATTGAGGAGCAGCCTTGTAATGACATTAGCCATCAATAAGCTGAAGACAGGCTTTAAGGAAGACAGAGCTAGGCCCTTCAGTGATGTCCAGTGACAGATCAAGAGGCAACAGGCAAAAACTGAAATGTAAGCTCAGACAAAGGCTCTGTCTGAACATCAAGAAACACTTTTTTACTGTGAGGGTGACTGAGCAGTGGCATGGGTTGTCGGGAGAGGTTGTAGAATCTTCCTCCTTGGAGATATTCAAAAGCCATCTGGACATGGTTATGGACAACCAGCTGTAGGTGACTCTGCCTGAGCAAGGGAGTTAGACAAGATAACCTCCAAAGCTACCTTCCAACCACAATCATTATGTGATTCTGTGATTAAGTAGCAAAGCCATTATTGTAACTTTGGACAAGTCTTTCCTTCAAATATCTTAGATAAAAGTAAAAATGAAGCATGATACATTTAGTCTGTCTGCTATCCCCTTTCATGGTCAGGTGTGGCATTACAATATTTTGACCTCAGTTAGGCTGCTACCAAACATTATTCATTGTGTAGAGCAGCCATCCCCCACAACTCAGCCTCAATCATGTTTTTTCTTATCTCTGCCAGAGTCCTAGTTGCACTGTTTATGAATTTCAGAGTCCTCCCAAAAATAAAATTCTTCCCAGTGCCTTTTCTCATTGTCACGTATGGACAATGTTCATAGATATGTTTGAAGAAAAAGTTTCTTTTCAATCTTATACTTGTAAGATACAATCGCATCCTGTGAAAGAAATTTCCTTGTGAGAAATATATAATTCATATATCCTCTGTCCCTCCTGAATATGACTTCAGGACCACCACTCTTACTTAAGTAGAGCACTGGCCATGAGGACTAGTTCTCAGTGTTTAAGACTTAGATTTTACAGGCCCTGAGAACAAACTTCCTTAATGAGGTGTTTCTTCTTCACAGAAGAGTCTCCTAACAAATCACTGCAAAAAAACTTCCTTTCAACAGAATTTGACTCCTCTGCATCTGTGACCAATACCTCAATTACTCCACCTATAAATTGATGTATGAGAACTAACAGGATTCCAAGGCTTTCACTGATCTTTTCTCTGCTATACCACAACAACATAAACTAATTGTTTGAATAATAGGACAGTGCCACTTCTCCTTGTGCTAGCACAGCCACAATAACTAAATCCTAGATTCTATTTTCTTTACTGTTTTCCCATTACAACTTTTCCATTATAACCAGGCTGCTTGTTCAAGAAGTATAGCTACTTCCCCAACCCCTCAAAATCATGTTCTAAAAACACATTTAAAAAAAACAATTCCAATTAAACTTTCCACATAACCCAGTAGAAATTTTATTATGCAATCTATTAATTCCAGATATCTCCAGGCATATCAGCAATGGAAAAAAAGTGGACAAAAATGCCTAGAATAAATAGAAATTGTGTATAATTTTAGCTTATTCTAGGAGGTATCTTTATTTTTTTTCCGCTTTTTTTTTTTTGTGTGTTTTTGGTTGTTTTGTTTTGGGGTGGTTTTTTTGTTGTTGTTGGTTTGATTTTTTTTTTCTCCCCTCAGCAGCAACAGGTGGTAATCAAAATTATTTTGGATATTGCAAGCTTTACGTGGCCAGCTGGCATGCTGTCCAGCCTCCTAAGAATGCTTTTCTGCTCAGAGCTTTTCAGGGGTTACCATGACAAACATCTGGTAATTGCATGGGTCAGCAAACAGCCAAATTTCTACTGTGTTCTCCACTGTGTAGCTTTTAGTCTACATTCCAAAATATGTATCTTTTCATGTACCAAACAATATTAGAAAAAAGTGTAACATGTTTCCTCCCTTTATAAAAGAAAGATACCAGACAGGTGTGTGTCTTTATAAATCAGTGAATAATTTCACAAGTCACTCTATTTCATTCCACTTTAAAAAAGTAGAATGTATTTATTAAAAAAAAAAAAAAAAAAAATCTTCACTGCAAACCAAAGTTCTCTTTTTAAACTACTTTCTTTTGTATTTTACTAATTTTATCCCAGTGCTCTGGTATTTGTCCAGAGACCCATCTGTGCCAGCAGATCCACTGAGGCTTTACAAAATCCAAGTATAATTTGATAGTAGTAGAAAGTACCTTAGATGCTATGTAAACATAGATTTAATTTTAAACACAGATCAAACCCTTCACACAGAAGCCCAGCATGTTTTCACCAACAGCATCCAGCAGGGACCACATTTCCCATCCTCTATACCTTCATGCATCCCCAGTCCCAAATCTGGAGGAACTCCAGCTACTTTTTTATCCCTTTTCCCCTCAGAATTCAAATGAGACTCAAAGCTCCAGGAGAAAAAAAAAAAAAAAAAAAAAAAAAAAAAAGGCAAATCATGGGATCTTCTCCTTCAGAAGAGACCAAGAAGTAATCAAATTCTGAGTATGCATATATGTGTATCTTGCTCAGAATGATAACAAGCACTTAGTTCACAGTGAAGATGCAAACTGAATAGTATCTGAAAATTGAAGGATCATTCATTCAAACTGCATGTATGATCCTAAGGCTCTCAAAGTGTAGTTGTTAGAAAATATATGAGATGAGTTCCATATACCTCCAGGAACTCTGCTAAAATATGTTGCTGTGGGAGCTTTTAATCTAATTCCACAGGATCATAATACTAGTTAGGGATTTTATCTCAATATCTAAAAACTATCATTATATAACTAACAAATCTTTTCAGAGGCTGCAAGAGGGTGAAACTGATTTTCCCTGGGATCACGCATCAAAGTGTTATCATGCACCTGAGTGCTCTGCAGAAGAAATTCAGTATGTTCAAGTAGCCCAATATTCTTCAAATATCTTTACTGTGGTTCAATAAGCACCCACTCTTTTGTTTGGTTTTCCATAAAGAGATGAAGAATGGTTATTTCAGCAGCAACCAGCATTAGTGAGGCAGAACTTCTATTCCTCAACTGTTCAGAGTGTGAGCCAGAGACAGGCTGCTCCTACCTCCAAAGGTAGATTGCCCCTGTCAGTCTCATTACCTGCAGAAGCAATCTAGTAGCTGTCACATCTACCTCCCCTCCCCTACCACAGGAGAAGCCCAGGATCATCAGCATTTTTTTTTTTTTTGAGCAGAAGCAAAAATAAAAACATCACAAGGCTTTATTTAGTGTACATTTTGCAGACCTATGCACCTTATGTGAGTGTAGTGAATGTACATGTCAGAGTGCAGGAAGAGCAGGGCTGCTACGAAAGGAAAAAGGAGTGAGAAGCCAATGGTGGCCACAGCACACCGTCATCACCAGCTAGGACACCATCCCAACCTTTCTGAATAGGGTGGGCAGAGTACTGTGCTGATAGCAAGGTCCACTGACAGTTCCAGAAAAAGTGAGGTGAATGAACCAGGTCCATGCTCAATCCTGGGAGCCCAATCAGGAGCAGCTGGAGACAAAGCCAGATACAGGGCTGGAGGCAAGACTGCAACATGGGTCTGCTGGAGACAGAAGTCAAGGCAACTAGCGACAAAATAGATCAAGGCTCATGCAGAAAACAAGGCCAAAGGCAGGACTTGAGACGGGTACACCAACAACATAGTTCAAGCAAGGATTAAACATCTAGGTCTGAGCTTAAATGGAATGCCTGAAGCAAGAAGTAGAGAATGCATGGGTAGGGGTCCAAGGCTGGTCAGGGCAATTGATGCCCTCAGGGCCCTCAGTGCAGTCTGTAACTTGACTAGAGATATATCTGAAAAACTGAGACCAAGCCGGGCCTTAAAATGTGTGTCATAAAGAAGGATGACTCTTCACTCTGCCATGACTTTAGTCACATTTTACTGATGAGCAAGGAAGGTCCACATCAGTACCTAAAGCTTTGCAGATGGTGATGGTCTGAAATCTACCTTGGGGGAAAAAAGTTCACAGCACGCACCCTAGAATTGCTCTTCGGAAAGTGACTCTTTGGAATGAATCATGCAAGGGAAATAGCAAGCTGCCACAGAAATCTGGACAGCTGATCTGCCAGTCATGAGGATATTCACACAACTTTGCCAGTGCTACAACTAAATGTTTAGTCAATATTCTAAATGTATTTTAAAAAGTGAAGAGAGCAATGGTTTGAAGTGATTGTTTCTTCCTATCATAATGAATGAAAGACACTTCCTTTCTTCTGGATGTTTTAGTACACAAAATTATCTAATCTGTAAGTGGGAGGAAATGAGAAAGTGAAAAGATCTAGACTGGTAAAACAGAACTAAAAACTGTCATGTGATGTATAAGTGACATATTAACACATAAAAACAGCTTGTATTTAGTCTAGTCTGCCATTTGGGGTTTTGTGGGTTTACTGCATAAGGGAATGGAATTTCCCTTAATTCCTAAGTTTCTACACTCTTCCTATAAATTTGGTTTACAGCACTGCAATGCTGAAATATACCAGCATCTTGCTGCCCTATATGTTCATGAGCATAGTCACCAAAACCAGGCAGGACTGGCAGATAAAGAGGCTTAGTGTATAGCAATTTTCTGATCTCTCTAGCATGGGTGATCTAAAGGACTCATCAGTTTATGTAATTCCAATCCAGGCTTTCCTGAGAGATAAAATTATGTAGTGGAAATAACAGGTACAGATCCCTGTGAATCTTTGTCATATTCCTGACTTCAGACGGAGTTCTGACATGTCTAAAATGTACTTAGTAGAGAGACAATAGAAAGAGGTAGAATAGTAAAGTTCCTTGTCTTATGGACATTTAAGAGTCTGCACTGTTTCATCATAAAGAACACTTAAACTCCTTCAAAAAATGTACAAATGCATCAAACTTTTGTACCTCCTGATTATTAAATGTTTATCTGACTCTTTCTTGGTAATTATTAGGATGATAACTGTAATGTTTTTCTCATTCAGATTCACATTGCACCTCAGTCTAACTTCTATGTTCACTGCTTCCACCTTGGACCCAAGAGAAAGTATTTTTAATTCTTCTCCAAGTAGCCATTCCTTTAGACAAGATAGACTTAAATTGCTCTTCACGATGTCTTGGAAGTTGATCAAAGGTCATTATCTAACCCTAATGCATGTATTCATAAAGACTCATAGTTCATTAACCTAACTTGGAAGAAGAATAGCCAGAGTTGATTTTTCTGCAAAATAAGATCTTTTCTCCTTGGTTCTTTACTCATATTTCTGCTTTGTAGGTTGTCTGGAGCTTTTCTTAGCTACAGTTATAAGGAGAATGCAGGAGAAGTATAAAAATATTCAAAATCTTCAGAGGAAACTTTACAAACCCATGCGTTTCAAAAAAATGAAGCAGGAGTCTGAGTAAATCCAAAAGTCACTAGCAGTGTCCAAGATTCTCTCATTTATTGGCAAGATGACCTGGCTGTGTGAGGTTGGCTGACAACATCAGTTAAAATGCCTTTTCTTGTACCACCTTCAGAGGAACCCATAATACTTTCTGGCACTCTCTTGACACAATTTTGGAAACCCTCCAGACCATCAATAGTGAAAGAGACAGACAGATTCACAGCTTTATCCAGTTAGGATTATGAAAATTGAAGTTGCAAAATACTCTCAACAACTCCAAGAACAAAAGAAAAATTAAATTAGTTTTCACTGAGGAAAAAATAGTAGGTTGATAATAAAGAATTAATGGAAAAATTCTTGTTGAACTTAGAGAAATAAAATCAATATATTCAAAACCTATAAAGCTGCAGGCCAGGACAACATGTCTGAAGGTTTAGTCTAAGCAAAGACCAGAAAAGAACCTGATCATCCTGCCATGATTCCTCAGTCAATTATGAGAAAAGGAATGCATGTCAGAAGAATAAAAAAAGGAAACATCATCAAAGAAAATGCATAAAGAAATAACTAAGATTCCCAGGAAAATTGTGCAGTTACTCTGAAAATCACTGCCCATGCTTTCAACTACAGCTTTCAAGAGCATCATGAAGGAGGTTTTTTTCCCCAATTTAATCATAATTTTGTACTTTACAGTATTATTTTAAAAAATAACAATAGCTAGAACTCATTAAGTGCAACAAGTAGATTAAACAAAAGCAAAACAGTTTTTACTGTACCTGTCTAGGGCAAATATTTAGAAAAAATCAACAATGAAGTTGAGGCCTTGCAGTTAAGTGTTATTACCCACAGCACTGCAAACAGTATAAATGAGAAGATGGACTTACCTTTGCTATATTTCAAGAACACTGGACAGAGATTTCACTAAACAAACCCTATTCTAGCAAACCCAAAGCAGAAACAAAGAGGTCATTCCAGAGAGACCATTCAAAGCATAGTAGTGGCTGATGCATTAACTTTACAAATCAACAGCTTTAAGAGATTAAAGGTACTGGCCCACCCTAAGATTGCTTAGGAACTAATCTCTCCTGTAAGCACCCAACAGTGCAAGGGATGGATGGGATTTGGTTGGACAAGACCTATGAACAAAAAAAAAAGCAAAAGTTTGCAGTCTGTGTAACTGTATAGTAGACCTAACACTTCAGTGTAAACTTGTTCCAAGTTTAGATAGAGCTTTCCAAACTCAGCCATTTCAAATTTATTTATGTGAAAAACACCTGGTGAACACATTAGGAAAAAATGAACAGTTTTCTTCCTTACGAGGACTCAAGAATAGATTTTAAAATACAGAAGACTCAATCTCTGGTCTGAGCTATGAGAGAATTTCATTTTTAAAAATTGGGACTTTTTTCCCTGAAAGTTACTGGCAGGTGAAAAATGGCTCTTCTCTTTCTTCTCTACAACAATTGCTACCACTGATTACTGTGTGATGTTTAATGAACACACATATATCATACCTAACAAGCACCCTTAAAATACATGTCATTAAAGACTTGAATTACTTTTTTGAAGTTTGGCTAATGGAATTCAGTGGACACTAGAATACACAAACTTTGCCAGATTAATTATAGAGCAAGAACATACATAAATTATTCCCTTCTTCCTAGGACATATTGATTTAATTGATTCCCCAGATTTTACACTTTAACTATTTTACCATTCACCTGCTTTACTTATATTAGCATTTAGAAACAAAGAGACAGATAAGTGACCTGTGAAAAGCTTTCTACTTTTTCATTACTCTTCAGCAACACAGTTTGAGCAGCTTATTAAAAAAACATAAGAAGGTAACAGATTCCAACCCTAGCAGTCTCTCATTTCATTACTTTCTGGCATTAAGTGCAGGTAATACAGCAATGCTTTAAGCAAGAACATATATGCCCCCTATAGATTTAATGAATTCTTAGCACAGAAAGATGGAAATAAATGAAAGGCTCTCTAAGCATATCCTAAATAGAAAATTCAGTACTAGAAAAATTATACTACATCTGTCAATAAATATATGTTTGCATACACAAAGCAACTATGAAATTAATCTTTAAAACCTAAACTTCCTCCTGTCCAAAAACCTTTTCTTTTAAACATAATTCTTTTAGCCTGCACAACAGAGATTGCCAGAAGTATTTCCTTTCCTGAGTAATGTTCCCTCCCCCACCACTCTTTCACTTTGTTCTACAGTTTTCATAAGTACAACACAAATGTTTCTTGGAAAAAGTGTAGCATTTTATTTTGAGTTTATTATACTAATTTATGCTACTACATACATGATTTTTCATAATACTTTTACAATTACATTTGTATTTTGAAAGCTGGATCATAAATTTTACCTCCTTTAGCAGTAATGACATGCTGTTTTGGAAATACCACTAGCATTCAGTTCTATACACTGTTTTACATACACAATTAGATCTACAAAGGTAGATAAAAACAAGGGTGATAAATCTTGACCATTTAATGGCTTCCACATAACTAGCTACAACCAAGGAATCAACATTTCGTTCAGTCTCTTAAAAAGAGAACATTACAGTTAGTTTTTAATTTTTTTTTTTTTTAAAGGCCTGACTGTAGATCTGATTCCACATCCAAATTTCTAATGGTGTATTACAATACATGACAATTTTGAATAAAGGAAAAGCATGGCTTTTTATTCCAAGTTACCTAATTCTGCCTTACCTCAGTGTTCTTAAATCCCATAATTTGATGCCATCACCTGCAGCTGTGGTCATGAAAAGATTGTAAGCTTCAGGTTGCTGCATGCTGAAGGATGACCCCTGTTAAATATGAAATCAGTTTCAAATAACTATTCTCGTGGTGTTAAATATTTAACAAAATCAGAATATCTCAAGTTGGAAGGGACCCATAGGGATCATAAAATCCAACTCTCTACTCCTTGCAGGAGTACCTAAAACTAAGCATCACCCAGACATGCCTTGAGCTCAGTGCCATGACTGCTTCCCTTGGGAGTCTGTTCCAGTCACCAACCACCCTCTCAGTGAAGAATTTAGTCAATTTAAAAAATAAACAATAAATGTTTGTTAGATTCTGTAACAGAAAGCTTGCCTGCACACACACAAGGGAGTGCAAAGGAAAGTTGTCATGTGGAAGAACTCCCATAACTCAGTCAAAGAAATGGAGCACTGCCTTGACTCCTCTCAGTGTTGTCCCAGGGCAGCCATGAGCCCTTTGGTCTGGGGGTGACACCAACCATGATGAGGCAACAGGGGAGTCTTTCTGGGTCATCTCACAGACTGATGGGCATTACTACTTATCAAGGTATAAAATCCCTTATGGGATGCAGGAGAAGATCATTTTGTGATTGCACATGACATTATGGGATATTCAGGGGAGGAAATAAGGGTGGGAAAAGGGAGGGATCAAAAAGTAGATTAACATTTAACTATATGTCATGTTTAGCTCTGGCATAAGTGGGCACACTTTCTATTGACTTCAGTAGCAATTGCATTCATTCATAACAGGACTGATTTGGGTATAATAATTAATCCCAGTCTATCTTTTAACCTCTGGGATTTTTAACATCCACACTGGAAAATCCTGGCCTTTTTGCAGGCCACTAACTTCTTAATCCAGAGAACTAAATATAAACAGTTAAAACTCCTTCTTTCCTTTCCCCACCATTCACATTCTTGATTTGGCTGAATACATCACAGAAACCTCAAGGCCATTTCCCACAATCAGTACTTGACTGCCAGGAATCTTCTATTCGTTACGAAAACTGGCATATAGCTGGAAAATGCTCTAGTATTTTGTCAAAAGAATTCCCAAAATGGCAATACAAAGTGGGGCAGTCAGCATTAAAGAGACTATAGAAGAACAGAGGATTGCCACAGCCTGCTCTAGTGGGTGAACGAAAATGTACTTCACCACAGATTTCCAAAAAGTCTACCCATTCTCACATTAGCTGTGTATAACTATTTAAAAAGGGTAATTGTAAACAAGTGACAGTAGGTTTTCAAAAGATAGTATTCATTAAAAGTTATAGAGCACCCTTTCTTTGTGTTTTTTTTTTTTCCTTTTTATTTTTTCCTTTCGTGCCCTGACAATTCATCAGTAATATGTTATTTCAGTAATATAAGGCTATACTTCCAGCTTCAAACTACATTTGCTACTGAATACTGCTGTATAGCACAATAGATGCTACCTGGAATAATATGAAAGCTGAATTTTATTTATTCCTTTGTGGTTTTATGGTCCATTAATTTATGATAGTCTGTAATTTCTGAGACTCTAATGCAAAAAGTAGAATATTCCAACATATTCTTCAAACTACATACTTTCATTCTAAAAGATAAATCACTTGCCTATGCCCCATCATCTTCATCATCCACCACTAATCCCTTCTCAGCTTCTCTCTGGACTAACTACATTCCAACTTCCACATAAAACTCATTATGTGTACTGTATGTATCATCATTATATGGCATGCCCCAAGAACTTCAGGGGAATTTGGTGCCAAAATGCTTTTTAACTAAGCAAAAATACACTGAGGTTTGGAATAATAAAAATTAATGTGCCAAATTAAATCAAGATTAGAGATATTCTAAGCAACAGTACACGGCCTAAAGCTCTGCAAGCAATTTAATTGTGTAAGTTTTAATCATATATGGATCTTCACAAACTAGGCATGTGTTTTATGGTTTCCTCTCCTGGACACGTTGGTAAGCTGAATTATACTATTTTGGATTCAGGACTAAGGGTTCTTTATGTATCAAATCCTAAATAATCTCAAATAGATGACAAACGGGAAGTAATGTGCCACAATTAATACAAATATATATCTAAAAAAAAAAAAAATATGTTGGCAGTGAGAACACTACTCAGAACAACTTCCCTAGGTGAGTTAGTTTTGTTACGATTTTGCCTAGCTTCTTCTCCTTCTTTTTTTTTTTTTTTTTTGGTCATCCAATACTTTATCATAGCCCCATAAGTCTAGCTCTATAATGGCTTTTTCATAAGTTTCAGGATATCTCTGTCTCATGTGAGAGATGCTTGCTACATTCTCACTCTGATTTCCCTTCCCTGATGTTGACAAAGTAACAAAACAACAAAGGACAAAGGAGCTCCGGCAACAACAGTAATCTGCGTGGTTGTGGGTGACTGGAACAGTATGGGGCAGGGAGAGAAGATCCCACTACAGTGAAGAAAGTTAGTAGGAGAAGAAAGGAAAGAGGCTGCAGGAGGTGGTGAAGACTCATAGCTGCAGTGGCAGAGCACCTGTAATGATTTATAGAGAGACAGCCTAGCTTCAACTGCTGAAATAGGTTTGGAGATGTAAACTGGCCAAGTAGCACACAGGATCAGAGGTGTGGGCTTCATCCATAGGTTGGTTATTCTCAAAACAGTCCTATCAACTTATCTAAAGTATTCATTTTATAAAACTGAAAAAAAAAAAAAGTGCCTTGATTTATTTTTTTTCAAATGGTCAATTTTCTTTGCTATACCATATACCTCCAGGTTTCTTCCCAAGTGAATTCTTGCTCACAGCTTTAAAGTTTTCCTTGATTTAATAACCTGAAGCCACTAAGCTGACCAAGCAAAAAGAAAAGCCAGAACTTTAAGCCTGTATATGTTACAAAAAGTACTGAAATAGTTAGCATGATTTTAAGTGTTCTACCAGATCACATCTTTCAGGAAAACCCAAAAGGAGTTCTACAAAAGTAGTAATAAGGAACTGTTTTAAACCAACAGAAGCAAGGACTTTCCAACTGGGAATGAAGAGCCATACTTGACTAAATCTAACACAGCAGGCATTCCAGCATGTACATACCATAAAACCTCCAAACATTGAAATCAATCTTCAAGTAAAAAAAAAAGAATCAAAGCTCAGGGGTTTTAAGTCACCTATTCTATTGCAGTACTAAGCAGTTATATTTTTCAGTTGCTGTTTCTGAAGTTTCAGAATAAATCAGACAACTTCATATTGAACTTGAGAGAACAGTTACATAAAGAAAAGTTCCTGCT